CGATGTACTCCATCTTTGATATGATCTAAATCAAATTCCTTGTCATTATAAATATCACGAACACACATCAAATAGTTTTCTGGTTGCAATTTTCTAATTTTGACTATGTGTAATGTATGCTTTACGCATGTGCACATTGAAAGAAATGTTTAATAAAGTAAACAAATAAATATTAAGCTTTTTTTTTATTTTTGATACCCTTTAAATCATAACTGCTCTTTATTTCATAAATTACAGTTTTATATTTTTAATTGTATAATTTCTGCAAGCCATCTTACCAGATTTAAATTAACGATCTATAATCCGGAAAAAACCCTTATCCAGAATCTCCAAAGTCCCAACGAGTCCGGATTAAAGACTTTATACTGTATTCTAATTCTGGACCTTTCGATTGCTAGCTCAACATAATTCAAATTCCACCACATAGGCACACAATAAAGAGGGAGAAAATGCTTTACAACATGATGGTGAACTTCATTCAGTATCACCTTTGTTCATCAGCCAACCTCTATACACATGCAAGGATAACTTCATATTCAAAAATCCTAATGTGTAGGGTTTGAATGCCTTGGTGACCATTTGTGCAAAAAACAGTAACTGAGAGTTTACAGCAGGTGCTTGACAGAACTTATTCCAAAAGTGATCTATTATGTACTATGCAGTGCTTAAGAAAGGAGAACCTTTCAAGAAAGGCGTATTGCTGTTTCAAAATACTGCGAAATGCTTGACTGTGATTAAAAATAGCTTGAGATGTATCACAGTACACTTCCTAAACAAATATGGGCCAGTAATGAAAGATGCGGTGAACTCGCATTATGCAGTCATCTCCGACTACTGCAAAGGGGTTTCTAGAATAATACACTCTTTTGCAAAAAATCGAAGCACCAAGAAGGACATTTGTGATTCTGACGAAATTTGGTATGCAAAAACATCTTGATTGAACATGCAAATGATCAAAGTTTCAAGGCAAATGAGCAGGAATTGCCATCATAGCACGCATTTCTAGAGTGCAATTCCCAAAGTATAAAACCAGTAATAGAGGCGGAAATTTTATCTTTTTTCGTTGCTACCATTGTAATTCCGTAAAGAAGCAACTAAAGATGCCATTACGACTATATCGAAGACCTTACAGACAACTAAACAACTTCGAACGCAGTCGCATTGTAAAGTTGCGTGAAGCTGGACGGTCATAAAGAGCAATAGACCACTACCTGCAGTGTACAGAAACTGCTCTGCAAAGATATGGGCTGCAATGGTTGCTACTAGGAAATTGCCAACGAAACAAAGGCTCTGGATGGCCAAGGAGCACAAACGCGAGGCACGATAGGATGATTGTTCGCCAGGCCTGAACTGCCCCAATGGTATCATTGTCGGACTATTCAACACACTACAGCCATGTCTATATCTCCCATGGTACCGTCCACCATCTCACGGCACTCGTCTTAGGCGGGGTTACACTCACAGAGGTCTTTAAGACATTTGCCTTTGACCCCACAACATTGGCGGTGTCATCTGGAGTCATCTTATAGCTGCCATCAGACTGGCATCCTATAGTGTTCAGCGAATAATCCCGCTTCACTCCTGAAGCAGCAGATAAGCACTGTGTTCGTGTCTGGAAAAAATGGGGCCAGCGATCCCAATCAGCCTTTGTTTTACAAAGAAAGACAGCCATAACCCCTGGTGTGATGGTGTGGAGGGCTATTTCTTATGACAGCAGGTCATCTTTAGTCATCCTCTATATATCTTTAACAGCTCAACAATATGTTGATACCAATCTGGCGGCCAGTTGCATTACTCTTCATGGAACGTCATCCTTGGGCCATTTTCCAACAAAATAATATCAGGCCACATACTGCTCACATATCTCTGGACTGTCTCCGTGTGGTTGAAAGTCTTCCCTGTCCAGCAAGCTCACCAGACTTTTCACCAACCAAACATGTCTGGGACATGGAAGGCCACCAGATTAGAATGTGTAGTTCTGGTAGAATGTGTCGCAGGATGACATTAGGAACCTCTACCACTCCTTGCCTCGACGAATTCAAGCATGCATTGCCGCCAGGGGCGGTTTGACCAACTACTAATCTGAACACTCAATGAGTGATTGTGAGCCGTGAACAGGTACAATGACCTCGATTTTTTAATCATTTTATTCATTTGTGTATGAGCTATATACATACAGTCAAAAGTCGTTAATCCGGACTCGTCGGGACTTCGTCGGGCGATTCCGGATTATCGATTTTTCCGATTTATAGATCATCAGTTTAAATCTGGTAAGATGGCATGCAGAAATTATAAAATTAAAAATATGAAACCGTAATTTATGAAATAAAGAACAATTATGATCTAAATGGTATCAAAATTTACAAAAAAAAAAAAAAAAAAAGCTGAATATTTATTTGTTTACTTTATTAAACATTTCTTTCAATGTAAGTTGTTTAAGTTGCTTCGTTTTTTATGTGATAATACATTCTCTTTAATTCTATAAACAGACATAATTTCTTGTTCAGTTACAAAGTTCCTGCTGTTCAAGTCCTATAATTGCTGTGTCTACCGACTAATTTGTCAATTGAAATTTTTTCGTTTTCAATAACATCTGTCACTCTCTTCGCTATCGGAAGCGAATTATAATGACGAGGAATTTGATTTAAATCATATCAGAGTACATCGAGATGAAATACTACATTTAGTAAGGAATTATAAGCCAAATAAAATAAAAACATCTCTGCCCTGAAGATAAGGATAGTGCTGACAGATCAACTTCCAATTCATTGCGCGCAGCAGCGTTAAAAATAAACAAAGTTTAGATAAACAAACATTAAAGTTTAGATAAACAAAGGATATGCCTTTATTCATTTTTTGTAGCAATTCCACTTTTTGTTTAATGAACTTTGAAATATACTTTTGCTTTGTAGATCCTTTACATATTAATAAATATATATAAGAAATTCTATTTGACATAATCGAAAGTTCAAGCTTACTTTTATAAAATTGCTCTAACGGTCTGCAAAAAATAATAAGCCGGATCCAATTAGAAGATTAAGGAACAACGCAATCTGCAACATTAACTGAAATAGATAATTAGATAACTTTAGCTTAGCTTATACCGTCCGTTATACATTAAACGCCCACTCGTAAACGTATTTTGCGCACGCGCACAAGCATATTCGCAGCCGTAAAGGTCTTACGCGCATGCACAGAAAGTTTGTAGCTTTGAGGTCCGGATTATAGATCATTCCGGATTATGGGTGTCCGAATTAACGACTTTTGACTGTATTCAGTTTCATCAAAAACAACCATTTCCTTCATGGTGCTTCGATTTTTTTGCAAAGAAGTGTATGTACATTTTCTCTCACTCCATATGCAGGAGTTGTGTACATTTAAACTTTCTTTAAATGAAAAGTTCATGTTGTTAGCCCACAGCCCATTTGAGAGCGAGTCAGCTTCGTTTTCCATCTATTGAAAAGCCCAATCTTCAAATTCATGACGGCTTTCGCAGTTGTTTCGGTTCTTGCACATACAGAATTCTGCTAGGATATATCTTGAGAAGGATCCTGAGTGGTAATCACACAGTCCTCTATGAAATGCCAATTCTCAGGTGATAGCTACAGCATTGCCTGTTAGTGAAAATGTAACTAGTCCAGCGGTAAAGTTTATAATAATTAAAAAATAAATCTTTTATTGTATTTCTGGGAAAACCACAGCCTATATCTTAATTAAATTATTTATTATTTTATTATTTAATCTTTAATTATTATTAATGAATTAATGAATCTTTTTATTAATTATTTAATCTTATTCAAATTATTGAATCTTTTTTCGTTGTTATTTTTGATCATATGATAATATATTGAACACTTATAAAATAAAAATGAAATTAACATATTAAATACAAAGGGCAAAAGACATTTAAAAAATTACAGGTAGGAAGAATTCTAATTTTCTTGAATTTGAGTTCAAAATCTTAACAGATTTTCAAATATCTCAAATGCTTCACATAAAAACAATATAATAAGAAGACAGAAACAAAACTGGCCTTAACATTGAAAGTTTTAATTAAAGCAAAATTTAAAATCTGCATTCAATGAGAAAAATTAAGAAAACCGATTTTAAAAATGCATCCACATTTACTAAGACATTATATAAATTTGAAATGTAGGAAGAATATAATTAAAAGTCTTACATCCAGGTCAAACTACCAATGTTTAGTGGTTTTTAGCTGTGTTAAAAAGATGCGATGAAATATCAGTAATTTAAAGAACACTTTTTTGATAACACTGATGAGCCGATTGATATTTACGTTGTAAACAAGAACATGAGTAAAAGAAGAAAATTCATGCAATTATCTTATTGGAACAATGAAACGTGAAAATGAGAAAAGCTGTTAAGGGCCAAAATACTGGAAAGGCAGCTTGGATTTATCAGATAATGGAAAAATACACCTTATATCTGTCGCCTTTAGGGAAGCATTCACAGAAAATTTGTAATGAAGATTGACCTTGTACATGAAGAAAACCATGAAAATGCCCATGCTGCCAAGTCAAAATCATATTCCTTCCATTTCATACAGACAATTTCATCATTCTTATTTCTTTCATATTAATACCAAGAAGAATATAATCTTTTCACAACTGTAGATTTTTCACTTAAAATCAAAAAATATATTTAACTCTTTTTAATATGCTTTTTGCCCAAGATAGAAGGAAGGAAAAATTATTTATTATTATTAAAAAAATTATTCATGCTATGAAATTACTATTACAAACAGAGTTTGATAAAACTGCTGTCTACCCAAGTTAAACTGATTTCGCAATGCTTCTGCCTATTGATAAACTGGATTGATGAGCCAGTAAGTGGTTTATAATAGATAACAATATTTTTTAATATTGTCTTATTTAAAAATAGAATTAGAGCAAATCCCAGTTTTTTCTAACAATACACTGCTACCATTTTTACTGTGTTAGAAATATAAAATGAAATGAAATAATTATATCATTACTTACAACAGATGGAGGAATCACTCGTTGATATTTTCCTCTATTTAAGAATTCCCGATATGCAGCCTTTGCTATTTCTCTCAGTTCTCTATTCATACACTGGTTACAAGTTATACATTTCTATTGATGTCAAAGATGTAAAATCAGCAGCATAAAGTAGCAATTTTAATGAAATAAAAATACATCTAAAATTTAAAATTTCAAAATAAAAAATATGTTAAATAACATTTATGTTTAAATAATAGCAGTACTCTATCAACACCACAAACCAGCAAAATTGCTGTTTTGAGAAAATCCACATTTGTGACTTTGCGCAGTGAGATTTGTAACTTTTGTAAGAAGGTAGATCAAGAAGAAATTTGCCTAAATTAAATTTATAGATAAAAATACATAAAGTTTTTTTTTTTTTTTTTCCCCTGTAAGCATTTAAGAATTTTTCATAATGTACAGTGAGCTTTCGAGTTTCTCTGAAATCAGCTGATCTAGTCATTAAGCCATTTCTTATTTCATTATCACTAAAAAATCATGTTTCTTCATCTACAAAACAAATAAAAGTCCAAAGAGACTATATCTAGACTGTATAGTATGTCAGAAATTTCAAATGCCAACCATGCAACGCATCTCATAATGCAAGTGAATTGGGGCCCTCCATTATCATGCAGCTACTACACTCCACTTGCAAGAAGGGAATGTTATTAATCTTAAATAGTTTCCTTAAAATGCATTTATGTCCCCTGATTAGCAGCTGCATTCACAGCCATCTTATGCACCATGCAATTAAGTTTGTTCACTGAAAATTCCGGAAAACTGTTGCCATTACTATCCCTGTACTTGTCATAAACTTTTTATATATTAGTAACTTGGGATGTCTCCCTTGCATGCTTTCAGTTTTTGACTAGTGATCAAAATGGTACACCATAGCTGCCAACCTTGAAATCTTAAAAATCAGGAGATTTTTCTTTTTTAGAGAAAACACTGAGAAGCAGGCGGGTATTTATGCTGAGCAGTGACACCATTTCAAAATACCTCCAAACTACAATACATGATTCAGGTTATTGAACTATTTGTAATATAATTCTGATGTATAATGTATTAGCATTTAGTTAGATATTCTAAATTTTATGTTTTTCTGCTACTTAAATTTATAAAAATTTCTTACAGTTTTATGCTGAGAAAATTCCCAATAGTGAAAATTTATTTTTCAAAGTATTTTTAAATATGATGAAAATAAAATTAATAATTAATGCAGATAGTATTTGTGTATATAAACTTAATAATATATATATATATTGACGCAAAATTAAATACAAATTGATTAAACACTGATTGAATCTCCATATGAAAATCTACAAATATCTACGTTAAGGTAACTCAGATCACTCGGATTAATTCAGATCAAATGAAATTTAATATAAAAAATTAATTATATCAATAAAAATGTACAATTGAGATGAAATAAACTTTAAAAAGAAAAATAATTCTGAAAATCACCAGAGATGGGGAAATGCAATTTGCCTAATTTAAGTTTTATTAGCTAGGAAACATCTGCTTTACTGAAAACTAAAAATTAAAAAACAGGAGATTTTGTGATTTACTGGGAGACTGAGGCTATGATGAAAAACTAGGTGTCTCCCATGGCAGCTATGGTACAGTCATGCCTTTTCTTCATCTTGTGAATCTGTGAACCATATGTTGGTTAGGATCTAGCTAATGGGTGCATAAATTGTAGTGCGTTCCAGTTCTTCATTTCTGGGCAGTAAATAAGTGAAACTTACCTTTTTTTTTAGTTATAGAGCTATTGCAGGCAACAATTTTGTATATTTCAAGTATGAATCAGAATTTGCTCATAAAAGAGCAAGCAGCAAAGACTTTTACCCCAAAATTTTCTTAACTTCTTCTGAAGGCCATAAATAAATTATATTTGCTTGATTATGATTCTAAGATGACAATCTCAGTTTTTTTTTCCAATATATATATATATATACATTAACTTAAGTTTCTGAACACATTTCATGTCTGAGTATTTAAAAGACAAATATTTTTTAACATGGCCTGACTGCTTAGAGGGTTTAAAAAAGGGAAAAAAACTGAAAACTGTGCTTAGAGGAAAGAAAAATAAGTAAAAAGAAATATAGATTTTACAGTGCCAGGAACCCATGAATACATATGTAAGATAAATATGAAAGCAAACTTCTGATTTTAAATGGTGACAGCACTTCTTATTCTTCATTTTAATTTGGTATTTCCCCTTTCAGTCCTAAAAATACAAACTATTTGTACTATATCAATTTAAACTGCATCATACATCTTACATAATGCTGCAATGCAGATACATTTAGCCAGGGCTGATTTTAGCAGAGGGCAAGATGGTGCACAGCACACGGGTGGCCAAATTTAAGGGTGGCAAAATGATTCTACTGTATATCATACTACACAAAGGAGGGGAAATTTTTCTATTGATTATATCAAAGGAAAAATTTCTTATAATGTTATTCAGATTTATTTGTGAATCATATTATTAATCTAATGTGATAACTTTATTCTTAATTCTCAATATTTTTTCCTAATTTTTTAAAACTTTATTCAACATAAAATAAATTAATGACATTGCTTTGCTTTAAAATAAATATAAATACTCATTTAATTAACTGAAGTTCTTGATATTAAGATTTCTTTATTCAGTAAGTAATCATCACTGTTTCATAAGTCAGTCACTTGTTAGTCTTGCAAGATTTGCAACAAATGACAACTTACTGAGAAACATAAATCCTCCTGACATCATAAATTAAGGATATTTAAGAGTGAAACAATTAATTTATTACCTCAAATAAAAACTCTTCAACAGACATCAAATTCAAGACTACATTAATGCGGGTTTAATATTCTGAGTTTGACAGTCCAATTTATATTTTCCAGGTTACAAAAATAATACACAATTCATATTACTTTTTTTAAAAAATCAAATATAAAATTTTTTACATATATTCTTTTTTATTTGAAATGCCTATTTACTCATTCAGAACCTAGATAGATTAAAGTGGAACAGGATCTAAAACTGCCCATTAAACACAGTTTTACACATTAAGTATTGGGTAATGAGTCAATAACTGTGACACATCTCTTCCAGAACACCCTACCTATGAAGTTAGAAGCTAAGTCAACAGACTAAGTTTGAAAGTCTACCATGCATAACACATGGCTTAAAAGAAAACATGAACATTAACTTTCAGAATGCTAAAATTATTGAAAACTTTAATTTCATGCTACTATTTTTGTCCATATATATTGCTAAAATTTGGATTAAATGTATAAAAAATAAAAAAGCATATGAAGCCACCAAAACTATTCCAGATTCCAATAACAAAAACAGCTAACATATAGATGAGAAAACATGAATGAATCACAAGTTCCTTTACAGACCAATGACAAGTTCTAATTCTAAATTTCCTCCAACTTCAGTCCAAAACTGATTAAGAAGGTTGGTTCAAAAGTCCGACCGATGTAACAGTGACTTTTTTAATGACTTTAGGGATTTTTTTTAAAATTATTTTCCCTTTGAAAAGACTCAGATTATAAACAATAAGCTATTCTAAAAAAAATACCATTTTTTTTACACTGCTGTATGATTCAGCTATCTCCTGCAAACCAGATTTTTTATTTAACGTTACTTTACTAGGTCTGTAACTTACATTAAAAGTTTGATGAAAAGGCTTCATTTTTAAACACCTTGTTATAATTTTTCCAATTTCTTTCTTAAATTTATTTAAAAATATTGCATATCTAACAGAAAATATTAGAAATACTTATTTTTCCATTTAATTCCATTGCAATACATAAAAGAATTTGACACATTATAGCACTTATTAAGGCATAATATGTACATTGAGTGGCCATTTTATCATGACCACCTGGCAATTTTAAGTTATTTGGTGATGGTGCTATTCTGTTGCTGCTAGCAGACTAGGCTAATATTAAAAACGAAAGCTTGGTTCCTGAGACAGTAGTATAGGTAATTTTTTCTAGATAGACTTTAAATGTGGGATGACTGGAGAAGCTTAAAGCAAGTATCAGCAAAATCACCATGTATGTGAAATGCTGAATACCAGATGTAGTTAAAGTATTTAAAGACTGGACTGTAAGGCAAAAAAACTGAATCTCAGTGTGTAACTTGTGCTTGTTATTGATTGGCGAATGATCAAGTGGAACGAATGGAAAAGACAACAGAGTGGTAAGAGTGCAGCAAACTGCAATAGATCTTAATCAAGGATCATCTCAAAGGATATCTGAATGCATTATTTGTTGTACAATACATTACACAGGATTTGAAAGCCTAAGGCCAGTTCAGACACTGCTGCTGTCTGCAGCAAACAAGATAAAAATGTCTTATATTCACTCAGAAGCATAAGGATTGATTAGTGGATAATTAGCAACAAATTATGTGGCCCGATGAATCATTCTTTTCAGTTACACCATGCAGATGGGTGAGTGAGAATTTGGTGGAAACAGGATGAAAGTATGGACATTAAGAAGCATTGCTACAGCCTTCAAGCTGGTTGAAGCAATATGATACTTTGGGGAATATTTTCTTGGCATGCTTTGGGCTCTTTAATTTATGTTGGTGAAAGTCTGATCAAGACATCATATTTAAACATAATTACTGATCAAGTACATCCTGTTATTGTGATGCTTTATCTCAAAGACAATGGCTACTTTTAATGAGATAATCTGTCTTGCCTAGTTATGGTATTACACAGTTATACAGTATTGGCTTGAGAAACGTGAAGGTGAGTTTGCTTATGTAGTTCCTAAAACTCAGAGATGTCAATCCCATTTAGCAGTTGAGAGATGAGGTTGAAAAAGCCATCAGACATCTATATCCACAAAACTGAATCTCATATAATTAGAAAGTGCTTTCATGAAGCATGCTTTTATTTATTTATTTTATTCTACAAATGCCAAACATTAGCACTTAAGGCATTAGTTCACGACCTCTCCAGTACTTTTAAAAATGTCCTCATACCGAGACAGTGCAATACAATTATTTAAATGTTAAAAAATCATAGGTTGATTGGAGTCACACAAAATACAGTTTGGAAATCCACCACTCCAATTCTGCAGAGGTGGTCTCACAAACAGTCATGCCCGGTCAGACATCTAGAGCTAGCTACCACTGTCTTTCATGGAAAACTAGGAATGAAAGTTGTCTCTTCGCTCAGAGTCCTCCAACTCTTATACATAGCACGTTGAATCATATCTTGCTTAAGAATTTTTTTAAGAGTCAGGTTAACGAACAATTTAGTCACATGAAATGAAAGCAGTCGATTAATGCACTGCATTATGAAAGTTCCTTTCTTAGCCAAAGTATCAGCTTTTTCATTTCCCATAATTCCACATTGGGCTGGAATCTATTGAAAAGAAATTCTGTGTGACATTGCCTTAAGCAAAGGCTTACAGTCTAAGATTCCTTAGAAACTATTTTGATTATTCAGAAGAGCTTGAAGCGCACTTTTGGAATCTGACAATATGACACTGCCTTTACAAAACAGTGGGAACGAATCGACAACTGTTGAATAACCACAGCAAAAGCTTCAATTTCACCATCAAATGCAGTAGTAAGAGGTCCCATTGGTAAGTAGAAACTGAAAAGCTTGCTGTGGATACCTGCTCCAGCATCACATGTTCTCTCTAACATAGAGTCATCAGTGTAGGCATGCAACCACTCATTTTGAGGATAGCAAATCCCAATAGTTCCCATTGCAATAGATCTTAATTGTGAATCCCTCATTTCGTTTTTAACAACTCTTTGAATAAGATCAAGATTTATATTCAAATTCAAAAAGTCCAAGGGACAATGGGGAAGAGGTAAAATTAGATGATCTCAGCTCAACTCCAAAGCATCAGATTCTCTCTGAGCAGTCTATATAAAACAAATTTGAGTTTTAAGATTCCTAGAAATTTCCTTATTATAGTCCTCCAAAAAGGGTTGTTGGGCAAACGCACCAGCTTCTGGTATAATAGGATCGCTTTTCTCTTAATACAATCATGAACAGGTTCCATACCCGTTAAAAGCTGCATTGCAAGGATAAGAGTAGATCTCATTGCCCCAGTAATTATGCATAACACTTGGTTCTGGAAGACTTCGAGGATCTAGACTACATTCTCCAGAGCCATGATGAGGATTTCACTACAATAACCAATAATTGGTTGAATGTATAATTTGTAAGTAGTCATCAATGTCTCTCTGTCACAGCCTCACTTTGAGTCAGCCAAACGTGTTTTTAAGACAGAAAGTCTTCTTACAGCTTTATTTTTCAAATTTTCTGCATGTTTCCTCCAATTTAAGCACGAATTGAGGATGCAACACAAATATTTTGTTGAATCGTTATGTTGAACATCTACACCCTTATATGTCAACTTCGAGGTAAACGTCTGACTGTTCAGAGTGAAGAACTGGCACGTGCTCTTATCCTGATTTACTCTCACACCATTTTTTTAACACCAATATTCCAGCTCTTTCAGAGCACCATTATGAGTCTCATTTAAACCATCCTGCTTCTTTTTAGAAGCACTAATCCAGATAACCGGATCGTCAGCAAAAATGGCAGAATCCACCCAGAGTGCTAGAGTCTTCAGTAATTCATTAATAAAAATATTAAAAACAATTGGGTGGATGACTGTTCCCTGTGGGAGGCCAGTTTCAGTCTGTTTAAATCTTAAAACGTCATAGCCATATCTAACAGCAGAAAAATGGTGTGATAAGAAATTCTTAATTCATAAAATCATCCTGCAAATTTATTCCCAAGTTCTGTAATTTCTAAATAATATGCAGTCTTCATACTTTATCATAAGCTGATTCAAAGTCTATGAATGTTGCCAGGACAAATTGTCTTCTTAAATAATTTTCAGTCGCGACCCCTTTTTAGGTTTTCTTCGTGACTCCAGGACCCCATAATATTCCCAAAAATTTTGTGGGACCCCATAAGCATTGCACAAATCCGACACACGCATGAGTAAAACTGTCAATTTTGTCCATGTACTGTAATGTACTATTGCAGCATCATGTGCAAAGCAAGTACAATGAATGTTTATATTATAAAAAGAAGTGTCGAAACATTTTTGTTTTTTCTTTGTCTGTATTGTCTTATCTTTATCTATAGTCAGATACATTGTGTAAAAATATTTGCTAATTTTAAAATTATTATAATATAATAAGTTAAAAAAATATAAAAACTGCTAAAATTTTGGCAAACCCCCTGCTGCAGGTCCCGCGATCCCCATGGAGATCGCAACCCATAGTTTAAGAAATTCTGGTCTAAAGAATCCCTAATGGCTTGAATAACATAAGACACCTGCTGGACAGTGAAATGATACTGTCTGAATCCAACTTGTTTAGGAGACAAGAGACTATTATTTTCCAGAAACAGGTTAGTCTAGTGACTTTTTCCATAATCTTTGACAAAACACTAGCCAATGCAATAGGTCAACAGCTCTTACTATTATCTGCAGGTTTATCCTTTTTCAAAACAGGGATAATATAGGCCTTTTTTCCATATGGTGGGATACATAAGAGTTCCAACTATGATTAAAAATAGACAGAAGCAACATTTCAGCATTATGTCATAGATGTTTAGTAAACTCTGGATGTATATTATCTGGGGCTGGACTTTTTCCTATCTTTAGGAAATAAATATCTTCTTCTAATTTTAAATTGTCAAAACCTCTATTAAAAATCTCTTGTCCAAATTCCAAAGTCGTATGGGAGTCCTTGATCAATTTCTCCACCAGCTTTTGATCTCTCTTAAATTCACCACTCAAACATTGATTAGAAGCATAAAAATTCATAAAAGCATTAGAAATACCCTTGTCAGATTAAACCTTTCCTTTAAAAATTATTGGTACCCTTGAGGAAAAGGGTTGTCATGTTTCAATTTATTTACAAATTTAAAAACCTTAGCACCGTCTTTACAGTAATTAATATTATTTATAAAAATATTAAAACTCTTGCACTTTGCTAAATTGATTTCTTTACGGAGAACTGCAATACACTTTCTCCAATTTCTGACATCTTCTGAGTTGTTAGAATTTTTAGCCTCAGTACAGGCATGAACTGACTGTTCTCTTAACAAAGTAAGTCGTTCATTCCAAAAAGATTTGTAGTTGTGTGGTTTACCTCTGGGTATCCAACACTTAGCCACTGTTGAAATGGTCTTGCAAAAATACGACGAGGAGGAATCCACTTTTTTTTTTTTTTTTTTTTCTTTTGGTTGGTTTACTAAAACGAACCTCCCATTCATCTCGGTAAGCCTTCCAATTGACCTTCCTACCTGTTCATAAAATAATACTGTTGTTTAGATATTTATCCCTTAATTCGGAATGAAGTAACAATAATGCGATGGCCAGAGCCAGGATCAAAAATTATTTCTCTGTTCGTCTCATCTGCTACGTCTCTTGAAGCCAAAGCTAAATCAGAGTTAGTACTACTTCCATGCTCTCATATTTTACAAATGACCTGCCATCATCTTCATGCAAAGAAAAATCAGCTCATGCACAGAAAAACCAATGCTATATTAAAGGGAAAAGATGGCCCAATGAAACATCCATGGGGTGGTCATAATATAAGGGCCACTCAGTGTATAGGGATATAAAGATATTTCAGCAATAATGTTAAGAATTTTAGTTACATTATTTACTACAGTCAAAAGTTGTTAATTCGGACACTCATAATGTGGAATGATCTATAATCTGGACCTCAAAGCTACAAACTTTCTGCACATGCGTCGCGTTGACGCATGCACGTAAGACCTTTACGGCTGCGAATATGCGTGTGCGCATGCGCATAATACATTTAAGCTTGCGCGTTTAATGTATAATGGATGGTATAAGCTAAGCTAAAATTATATAATTCAGTTAACGTTGCAGATCGCGTTGTTCTTTAATCTTCAAATTGGATCCGGCTTATTATTTTTTGCAGACTGGTCGAGCAATTATATAAAAGTAAGCTTGAACTTTTCGATTATGTCAAATAGAATTTCCAATATGATACATATTTACTAATATGTAAAGGATCTACAAAGCGGAAGTATGTCTCGAAGTCCATTCAAACAAAAAGTGGAATTGCTGCAAAAAAGGGATAAAGGCATATCCTTTTATTCTCTAACCATTCTGAAATCTGTTTATCAATTTCAAGTTGCTCTGCGGCAAGGGGGGGAGGACGCCGCAGCACGCAATGAATTGGAAGTTGATCTGTCAGCACTATCCTTATCTTCAGGGCAGATGTTTTTATTTTATTTGGCTTAAATTCCTTGCTAATGTAGTATTTATCTCGATGTACTCGTCTTTGATATGATTTAAATTAAATTCTCGTCATAATAATTCGCTTTCCGATAGTGAAGAAAGTGACACAGAGGTTATTGAAAACGAAAAGATTTCGATTGACAAATTAGTCGGTATTCTCGACACAGCAATTATAGGACTTAAACAGCAGAACTTGTAAACTAAAGAAGAAATTATGTTGTTTATAGAATTTAAGAGAAGATTATCAATAAAACGAAGCAACTTAACAACTTACATTGAAAAATGTTTAATAAATATTAAGCTTTTTTTTTTTTGTAAATTTGATACCCTTTAGATCATAATTGTCCTTTAATATTTATTTGTTTAATATTAAACAAATATATTAAGCTTTTTTTTTTTTTTTTTTTTTTTTTTTTGTAAATTTGATACCCTTTAGATCTATTGTCCTTTATTAATAAATTATGGTTCATATTTTAATTTTATAATTTCTGCATGCCATCTTACCGGACTTAAACTGATGATCTATAATCCGGGAAAATCGATAATCCAGAATCGCCGAAGTCCCAACGAGTCCGGATTAATGACTTTTGACTGTACTACAGTAAGGGAGACACACATTTCAATCATGTATAACATGTGCGTTAATGAAAAATATAAAACTTACAATATTCTTGCAAGATTTTCGACAAATAGCAGAAGCACACTGTTCAGGATAAACTTGAATGTCTTTTTCAGATACTTCGGCTTCTCCCCTAAGACATAAAATATGATGAATTGTTATAACAAATAAACACTGTGTTACATATTCATATAACATGGCAAGCAAAAGTCATTTGACTGAGGGAAATATGCTAAAAGTTCAAACCATATAACAAATTTTTAAAAAAAATTATTTCTAGAAATTAAATTAGTATTTTAAACAGTAATTTCAATCTCCTTGATTAAAAAAAACTTGCTAAGGAAAATCTTTAATTGCAAAAATACCAAAACCAAAAGTAAATTTTAAGTATTGAAAAAGTAGCTATTGTAATTGATCACAGATTAATCAACTTATCAAGGGGATAAATCAATCTACCAGTTGTGGTGGGTTTGTGCTTAGCAAGAATATGTTGAAAAGGTATGTATGCAATATCTATATCAGTCTTCATTTTTTCAAGTAATGCAGTGGTACTGTTTGAAGAATGACTTATTCCTTTGTCTTGGTGAAGTTTCACACTTTGAAAATCACCGAGATGAAGAACTGGAATCTTTTCAGGAAATATTGGGCGTATAATGTTCTCTTGACAATATATCAAGTTGATTTTAACATTTTTTTCAACTCTTCTTATTTTTAATTTCCCATTGTAAGCCACTCCTGCATTGAGCCACATGACTCGGCAAAAGCTGGTAAATATTATTACGTTATTTTAAGTTATAAATATTAGTTCATTATTTTATTTACTGTTGCTACAGATAGATTTAAAGACTTTGCAATTGATTTCTGTGTTGGCTAATTTTCTCTTGTTACCAACAATTTAAATTTAGAAACAGCATATACCGTTTTGGGGGTATTTATTTGGAGTCTTCTTTCCATGTGCAAGCAATGATTGACAGGTTTTTTTTAAATGTTTTTGGATTATGGAACAGGAATATTTCTCTTCAGAAAGTGCACAAACATGTACCTCAATCCACAGCTTGTTTAGATGTGACATTTTGAAAGGTGAATAAATTTAAAAGTAGCATACAATATTTCTTATTTCAAATAATAAGCTTTACAGAATACAGAAGTTTGTATTCCAAAATATTTTTTTAATTCTTTAGCAAAATTGTTCTAAAAATGTGTAAATACTCTCAGTATTATCTACAGATTTATTAAACATTAGTATAAGTCTCTTGAACTAGACAGGAATGACATAACTATTTCAGTTCCAGTTTTCCACTAAGCAAAGTAATAATTATGAATTACTCGTGTTGCAACAATGTAACATAAGCAAACAATGTAAGTTTTTTCACCTTAAACAAAACTGAAAAACGAAACTGAATAATCTTCTGTACGCCATAATAATGTCAAGTGAACCTCATATAAAAATCTAATAAAGCATACCAAATAAACTAAAGAAATATAACTATATAAAGGATGATGAACATATAATAAATATGCAGTGCAAGTAAACAGTAAGAAACGTATATAATGCAATTTTACCTATGTAACTGGGAAGATAGCAAGCACACTATATGGTCGTAAAAATGATCTGATAACCTAACTAAGTGGTAGTAATAATAAGTAACTAAGAGGTAGTGCACACTAAGTGGTAGTAATAATGATCTGATAACCTGAGTCATTACTCATGCAGGAAATTTGTGCTTGGGAACCTTGTTTCTGTCAGGTTATTATATTTACAGTTTCCTCAGTAAATCTGTTTTAATGTAATTTGTTGGCAGATAGGTAAGGCATGAAATATAATAATCAGCTTAACTGCTTACACTGACTTTTTTTTTTTTTCCTATTATGCAGCTTTTAAAAGCCATCAAAACTTCCTGCAAAATACCTTAAATCTGCATGACTTTTGATAATTAAATTATATTTATTCAAAAATTACATTAAAAAGTTGTTTTTTCAAATGAAAATTCTTTTCTGATATATTTTGTCAACTACAGAAAGTAATATAGGTATTTCACAAAAATAAAGTATTAAGCACAGTGATAACTGCATACATAACAAATTTTACTATACATTGTGTCATCTGGAAAATTATGCAGTTTTTCAAATCAAAGTATGTTTTCTTCTAATTATTTTATTCCTGTTGATAAGGAGTGACCTCAACCAAAATAAATGTTTAAATACAGCCTTTACTTTTCATACTGTGTAATTCTAGAATGTGCTGTGGCATAATAAAACTGAATAATAACTGAAATAAAAATTTCAGTAGAGTGCTAAGTGTGGAGAATAAAATGTTCATTTTTGTCAAAATATGCTCTTATTCTTTCAAAAAGGAAAAAATGTTATCCACATTGGTTTTAAATTTTTACTATGTATGGACAAAGTGTTTTTTCTGATGACATAATTTGAAAACGTTTTTTACTATGTATGGACAAAGTGTTTTTCTGATAACATAATTTGAAAATGTTTTAAGTACATAAAATTCAGCCATGAAGATGATGCTCACTCTGGACAATCATTCCCAGTACACTAGGACCTATTAAAACACGATTTTACTGATAATCCGTATTAAGCAGCTCAGTAACAATGAGACACACTAAATATTCCAAAAAGTACAGCATATCATTTGAAAAAGACTGAATGTAAACTGCTGTGATTTACAGGTACTCCATCAATACAAACAGCATTTGTACTTTAACAAAGCAGAATATGCTTGCTTGAGTTTCAGCTTGCGATTCTTTGTGTAAAAGAAATAAAAAAGCACCTTTTTCGAAACAGGCTCATTATTAAAGATGATAATAATTATTAGAGATGATAATAACTATTAGAGATGATAATACAGTGGATAGTATACAATAATATTAAAAGAAAAAGATCCTGGGGTTATGGCAAAAGAACCTCTTTTAGTAATATCAAGGAACTGCATCCGCAAAAAGTAATGCTTTGTGAATGGTGGGACTACAGAGGAATTGTTAACTGAAATTTTATCAATCAAAATTTTGTACCACCAATTGTTAAATTAATTTTTTCCACCAAATCAGGTGATAAATTCAGAAAAATATTGTTACAAAGTGGCAATTTTAAAAGCAAAAATCAAAGCAAAGCACCTAAAAATGACAATTAATCAAGGTGTTTCTTTAAATCCCGACAATGTTCGGCCCCACATTTTTATGGATGTCAAACAAAGATTTATTGAGTACAAATGGAATGTTTTGTGTCACGCTTTATGTTCACTTGATCTTGCCCTCTTGGAATTTCATTGCTTTAGATCACTTCAAATTTCTCTGAATGCTCTGGAGTTCACTTCATTGGAGAATGTCAAACAGCACATCCATTATTTCTTTACGAATGAACCTCGCTTTTTTTTAAAAAAAGAGGAATTTTCCAGTTGCTGGAGAAATTGCAAAAAGTTATAAAACAATGGTGCTTATATGATTCAATGAAATTTTCGCATACTTTTGTACTGCTTCATTTGTTTTTATCATAAAAAATGTAGAGCTTTTCTGATGACATAATAAAAGTATACAAGATGCATAAACTAATAAAATCATACTTAGTAGTTACACAAAATTGCTGCTTTGTTATTTAACAACTTATTTCATAGCATTAAACAACTCTAATTTACCAAAAGATTTTTATTTAAGTACTGTTAAGACACTATATAGTTACCAAATAATCGAATAGTTTTCCGTGCTCTATGTAATTTTCATATATTTCTTGATGAGATATCATTGCGCAATGACATATCTTTCAAGAAAATATAATACCTCCCCCCGACGGTGAGTCAAAAATAGTGGATATGCATAATAATCAGTGTTGTTAGATCATGCAATTTTTTGTATTTTTTTCTTTTTGCAAATTTGAGCTATTAAAATTTACATTTATGTGAATCTGCAAATTTTCTGCTACTTTGACATTTCATAGTACTGCTTTTTTGCATTTTTTTTTTTTTATTTATCATAAAATTTGTTAGTTAATATAATGTATCTATTAAAATTAATTTATAATTAAAAGTAATAAATTATTTAGGTTTAAATAAAAGTTAGTAATTTCAGTCATGGCCTTTTTTAAGTGTGTATGAACCCTCAGTTTTCAACACCAGTAGCTGGTGTTTTCACATGCTTAATTAATAGCTTTGTTTAATGTTTTGGTGGTCTATGCACAGAATTGTAATGTTCAAGTCAAATTATAACTGCTGTGCTAATTAAAGTGTGAATTATGAGTACTATGAAAAAATCTACAATACCTTTCTAAATGCTTGGCTTATGTTTGAGAACAGGATAGAAAGAATGAAAACAAACAAGACAAAAGCTTATTGCAAGTTATATAAATGCGAAATGAGGAAGCATAAAATTGATTTAATGATGCACAGTACTTATTTAACCATAAGCAAAATTTTATGTTTGAAAATAGTGACTCTAAGTGAATGATAGTTCACTTACAGTGAGTTTGCTTTATTTGATCTACAATATATTTTTATTCCAAATGCTACTTCCAAATTGAAAAATTTTTTAGCATAATTGATACATATAGTCTAAATAAAATAAATATTTCATTTTGTTTAGTCAAATATTTCAAAACTACTACTTGAATATTTGTTTAAAACAGAAATAATTATCTCATTACAAATAGCAACATAAATAAATTTAACACTAAAAGAAGGTATCTTTTGATCAGTAATTAGAATCTGATGATCAAATATGTTCAATAATCAGAATGAAAAATTCAATGAAAAGCATAAGTAATTAAAGTAAAGCAAGAAAATAATATATCGTCAAAAAATAACAATTTAAATTCACTCAGCATGAATTTAAAAAGAAATGAAGATTTAAACAATGGAAAATTAACAATTTGGTTTTTAAGATTTTTGTCAAAATTAATACACGTAATGTAGCAAATAAGAATCGAATTACAATCCATATTCTATGCAACACTCGAAGACTGAATTTGTGGTGATATCATAGGTCACTTGAGTTTATTTGTATTAATAATATGTCTTTGTAATGTAATTATTAATGTACCTCTGATGTCATAAAATCGAGATCTTTGATATCACGTGCTACTTTTTCCAACTCTTTTATTCTTTGCTTGCTACTTCAGCTAAAAAATGTC